AAAAAGCAGTGACATGGGACCAATTGACCATCGATTGTGTACGGCTTCTAGATCAATGAGACTGGAAAATATAAGAGATTTCATAAGGAATCAAAAAACGACAAAAACATATACAATTCTCGAAATCAAGGAGAAAACCTTAAGATTCAATTCATTAACCATGCTGATACTCATTTCCTTAATATTGACTTAGTCTTAAAAATCATAACACGATAATTCAAAGTCGAGCATTTTTTGCCACCTATTGTCAAGTTACATGAATGAAGATCCTGTCTCGCGATTAGTGTGATTGCACATCATACACAAAATCCTGTTAGAAAAAGCATCTGATTGGGAACAAAATGTGAGATTCTAGAATTAGATCTGAATTATGCATACACATGAGCAGTTAACAGTTGGATCCAAGCTAAGTTATCTTTGAATGATATGAACAGGTCAGTCGATATGGTGTCAAGAAAAAAGTAAATGTTCAAAAATTCAATACTCTTGCCATTATACATCTATGCAAAGCTGTAAAAATTTATAAGTATTTGAATAAAATTAAAATGACATATTATCAATATAACAACAGTGATATATAATAACGTCTTATTACCTGTCCTGAGGCCGTACCCGTTTTTCAAACAGTTTGCGCCCTGACACTGTCATATCCTCTAGTCGAGCAACACGTTCACGTTTCTCTTGCCTATGACAGTAGTGATTGGGTATAGAAGTTGCTACATACTAGGTATTTGATTCTCAGATCTTTCATTCTAAGATTAAACATATCATTTAGTTAAATGATAATAGGCAAAATTCAAAGCATAAGGGGGAGAGGGATGAGGGAATTGCCAGTCACACGGTAAATGTCACCGATTATTGCCGGTTGGTACTAGCTCCCTCGCGCTGCTCAAAACGCGGCTCTGTATAACAAAAGTCCCATGCATTCCTTCAATAACTGCCAGTTATAAGTTAATTAATAGCTCATGTCATGGTCAATTAAACGACAGACTGAAACAAAAAACTCTTACTTCTTACTCTTTGCTCCAGAAGGTCGATCAAGTTCACATATTAACCGAGCGACCTCTGGTTGTTCGGCAACGAATGCTTTCTCGAAATCTTCGATACTGCCATGGATATCCTGCTCGTCTCCTTCTGGTGAACGTTGCAATGCAGCCGTTGGATCAAAGTCTGGTGAGAATGGATCTGTCATAGCTGAACGAAGCTCTAAACGTGTTCAATAATGGATTTCAAATAGTCTGTAGTCACGATTGGGACATAGTATTTGTAGGCTCCAAGCAAAGCATGATTTTGAATATTCACTAATTTTTTATGATCGGCCTTTCAGTCAAGCTATCCACAATGGCTGAAGGATAATCAGAAATGGACAAGAGTAGCCACTTTCCTGCGACAGTCTCAGATATCTCCACCCATCCAATTTTGCGAACGCCGCCATGTCTGGTCTCTCTTGCCGCTTTCTAACTGGCGAGAAAAGAGTGCGATTGTAAGAAGATAGAAAGGCGGCAGAATGCACCGCTGCAACTCGCCGTTATGGCCGAGAAACTCAAATTTCAATTTTCTATTTCACGCAAAAAGCTTATATTGCGCTCAGCACAGCGAAATGGTCCATAAAGTATAAGAAAGTCAAAGTCAAAAATTTTAGAAGAACTGTTAAATTAGAGTTGACTCTAATTGCTTTGAATTTATCCTTTTCTCCAAATAATTCAGTGTGGAACGCGATTACTACTTCAGTTGTTGTAAAACAAAGATTTTCGGCTCTTTTAGATGGAGGATGACAAGCGACATTGGCACGATGTCAGGGTGTCTCGAGAAAGTCGCCCAATTTTCTCGCTAGACAGAACAGCTGGCGAAAGAAACCACACATGGCCAAGTAAGGCGAGAAACTACTATGGGTTTATCAGAAATTCCAATTTGCTTTTTTCAATCGGACTTGGGGAGTCAGCTTACCAAATAGGAGCGATTACAATAATCAAAATTCCAAATAATTCCGTAATCGCGGTATTGCGCGGACACTCCTCTTTCAAC